TAGAGGACGGAAGTAGGCTGGCTGGACTCTTTGCTGACCACAGTAAGGGACTGCCGCTTTCTTCTCATAATTTAATTTTGAGATTCTGATGAAAAGGTACTCCCTTAAAAAAGTGAAAAATTGTTAGAAAATAGTCATCAAAAAGCGATCAATTTAATTTATGTCTTAGAAACAAACCGCATGTAACTAACTGCAGGGCAGATAAGCATTTGCTATGATATATGGACATTTTCAAAATATGGGCAGTATTTTGTAACAGAAAGTGGACATTACTGGGTTCTGGTATTGGTGATAATAGCTTTGGCCTCATTTCACAAGCATTCTGAAATTCTAAACCAGAGAACTACACTGAGAGGAACCTTTGAATTTAACTGGTCCAACTCCCTTATTTTACAAGAGAGAAAATTGAGGCCTAATGATAAACAATAACTTGCCCAAGGTCACACAGTGGATGAGAAACAGCACTAGGACCCAAGCTCAAACCCCCCATTCCCAGTCCCAAGTTCCTTCCACTGAGTGAAGTGACTCCAAGGGAAAACTGCAAACTCTCACATTAAATGAGAAAATCCTCTTTCCAGCAAAACCAGCATCTAGTCCCCTTTCAAATGGCCTCACATGTTTCTCAAGGCCTGGACTTGTCTGGCCTGGCCTGGACTGACTTCTTCAAGGCAGTCTAAGACACATCTTTGCAGCCCCAAGAACTCAGCTCCCTGATCTCTGTCTTTCAAAAATGCACAGACTCTATCACAAATGCCCAAACTGTCTTTATGGACAAGTCCTGGGATCATCAATGTTACCATTATCTGCCATCACACGAGTTAAAACTTTAAAAGTCACTTTCAACTTCTTTCTAGTTCTCTCATCCTCTCCTACTCCTACCTGTACTGCTGACAAGTCCTGTAAATTCTACCTCCAAAATGTATCCCATTTGCATCTCCTAATTTATGTTTCCAAAGGCCTCCATCAGTGTCTTCCTGCCTCCAGGTTCGTACCACTTCAGCTCATTGTCCACAAAGGCCAGACCAGAGGGCTCTTACTCAACAACACTGACATGCTCCTGCTCAAATTCCTGTCACCTACAGTATAGAATCCTTTAACACAGCATGCAAGCCCTCCTCAATCTGATCTACCTACTTTGAGACAAGCTCCATTCGATCATCCCAGCTCATTCATTCCATTCCAGTGCATTGGACTACTTGTTTTCTCCAAATGGTCAAGACCTTGTTGCCTCAACTTGGCTTCTCTTCAACCTCCAGAAGTGCAACCTTTCCTGTGAATCTTCCCTAAGCGTTCCAGAAGGAAGTAGTAATTCTTTTAAGTTCCCTCAGCACTTTGCTCAGACATTTTTAATGGTACTTATTTAATTCTACCTTACAATCAGTTGGAACTCTTTTGTCTTTGAGAAGATGCTTCATTCCTCTTGGAATCCCCACCATATTCCCTCATCCAATTCTTTGCACATAATAAACGTTTGACTTTCTTAGCATTCATTGAGCACTTACTATCTGTGAGGCACTAGGCCAAGAAGTATAAGGAATATAGGAGGAAGATACAAAATAAAATGCAATCCCTTTCTTCAAAGGATGTTTTAATATAATCACCAAGACACCATCACAAATAACATAAGCAAGTGAAATAGCTGTGGGGGTGGAACTGGGTGGAGGGGAAGTTCAGAATATGGATGGATAAAACATTCTCTGTGTTCCCAATGAGAACACTGGTGTTATGACATGGAAGGAGGGGCAAGGAGGGAGAGGGAGGAAAGAAAGGGCAAAGCTGCTTCTCAATCCCATGTCTGTTTTTGTAGTCATTACTAAAGAAGTCTTCCTAAAAGAGACTCTGATCACTTAACTCCCTGTTCAAATGTTTGCTGTTCAATGAATCAAACATCACATAATTATAGGCTTATGCTTGGAGTTAAGGAGAATACCAGTTTGTAGAGAAGAGACACACTTCAGGAAACAGCTGGAGAACACAAAACAAGAACATGCTGTAAAAGTGCTAGGGAGTGGGGGAAAAAGTAAGGACATGATCAGTAAAGGCTGAGATTCATTGAGAAGGACTAGAGGAGGCAAGCTTCCAGTGGATGGCCACTTGGTAAGAAAAAGTACACATACCAAGAGAACTTTAAGTTTCCTGTAAGGTTAAGACCCTCCTTATTATTTGAGGTGGTTTATTCATTCATTCAATAAATACATACTAGGCACTTCCACAAAATACTAAATATTGACTGAATGTTTTCTATGTGCCAGGAACTCTGCTACACAATGGAAGTAGCAGTGAATAAGAGACTTTGCACTTAAACTCTTAAAATATAATGGAGATGGCTGATACTATACAAGTGCAATAAAATGTGATGGATACGCTGACAGAGAGCATCAGGTGTCACAATCTCCGGCCACAAAGCAAGGAACTGAATACACCAAGGGCTAGGAGAATATCCCTTAGGAGGTGGTATTTAAGCCAAGACACCAAAGCTGCCCAAGAGTGAAGTCAGACAAAGCTCACTCAGCACCCAAGTAGAAGAACATCATCTGTGATGATCTGGCATTAAGAATGAATATGGCATGTCTAAGAAACTGCAGAATTTTCAAAAAGTCTACCATAAGGAAAGTAAGTAGGAAGGAGATGAGGGATTTGGCTAGAAAGGTAAGCAGGATCAGACTGCAGAGAGTTTGACTAAGTTACACCAAGGATTTTATGCTTTCTCAGTAGGTTTTAATGTCACATTGACACACTATCACATCTACTAAGTGCATAATAAACTTCCGTTGAAGAATGGATTAGTGAATGAATGGATGAAGGAATGAATCTCCTTTGCGATGAGCTTGGGCTTTTTGACTGAGACTTTAGTGCAGATTGTGTAGCCCTTGTCCAAAATGCTTGGACCAGAAATGTCCAGGATTTTTTGTAGTCTGGAATGCTTGCATATGCATAATGAGATATCGTGAGAATGGAACCCAAGTCTAAACCCAAAATTCATTTGTTTCATATATACCTTATACACACAGCCTGAAGGTAATTTTATACAATGGTTTTAATAATTTTGTGCATGAAACTTTTGATGCAGAATCTTCCACCAGTGGTATATGTAAGCACTCAGTTTTGGATTTTGGAGCATTTTGGTTGGATATCAGAATTTAGATGAACTATGCTCAACCCATATTTGCTCCAGGGAGTGGTGCTGTCACAAGGGGCATTGTCCCCTTAGATTCGCATACCAGATTGAACTCATGACCCCTCTAGGTAGACCCTAACCTTCTTAAGAGTCACTTAGACTCTTAAGTCACCTGGCTCACCCTAGCACACAGAACATATGTAAATCTGCATTAAAGTCAAAGATTTTTTTAGAAAGTAGAGTGAATGTTTTTACTTAGAAACCATTTAGGCATAAGGTATGAAAGGGTAGACTGGCTCTTTCTTAATCCTTGATGGAAAGAAATTTGCCTTCTGAACCTCAAGGGCAAGAATATTCCCAAATTAGATTATTCATAGCAATTCCAACAGGACAGATAAGTCCAAGGAAAGAAAGAATAAATGTTCCAGAAGGAGATTTTCACCTTTCTAATATGAATAGAAAAAGTAAGACAGTTCTAAAAAGCTAAATTGGCTCTTCCTTTGGACCCCCAGGTTTTCTAAGTCACTGAGCTGCAACTCCAAACCCAGCTCCAGAGCAGCCACCTGCTGGAGCAAATGAGCTGCTAGGGGGAATTGGGGGCCAGGTGGTATATCTAGAAAGGAAGAAATTTTCAGGAATACAAGATACCATTCCCAGGATTCTAAGAAATTACCAGGCCAAAGATTATCACCCCACCCTCTTTCTTATAACCAAGAAACTTTCTCTTGATTTTCCATAGAGTCACATTTGAAATTTAGGAGTTGATTTGGCTACAGGTATAAATAACAGACCAGATTCAGTACCTAGTGAAAGAGTCCAAAATTATCCCTGAAGTCATCATAACAGCTAAGCATTCATTTGGCAGACACAGTATCTGAATAGAGTTTCAGAAAGATTCTTAATGCTGTTGCTAGGGCTGTGGGGTGTGTGTGTGTGTGTGTGTGTGTGTGTGTGTGTGTGTGTGTGTATGTGTGTGTATTCATGCATGGAGGCACATGTGTGTGTGCACAGTATTCATATGCATTTTAATCAGCAAAGCCTCCCTGACATAATCAACAGCCAGAGATGGTCATTTGGCATCTTACTTCAGGGAGAAAAAAAACAAAATGCCTTCATGTGGCTTTCTAGGAAATATATTTTGTGTTTCATTAGTCATGTAAAGCATAACACTGTGAAAGAAGGCAGGTGCACCCATTTGTGGCTGGCACAGAAGCAGCACTGAAATCTTCTGCCTGAGTCTGAGCCTCTTGGTGCTAAGTGCCAGGTCTACCGACTACTTTCTCAGACCTGCTTAGACAGAAACCTAAGACTAGGTTGAACAACCCCGACTGGATTTAGAGCTTCCTTAAGGGATCCCCTTACTCTTACTGGGAACATGCATGGGTGCCCTGTGTTGAGGAGATGTGCTGCCACCTGTGTGCTTCTGGTCCCAGGCAGCTGTGGAACTAAGGGGCTGGCCCCAGAAGAGCTATAGCCACAGATCTCTTCACAGGCTCTTGGATGCCAGGTGGTAATTCTTTCCCTGCCATTGATAAAGTACAAAGCTAACTGTCTGACTCCCCGTACCCTGGAGCGACAGCCAGTTCAGAGTCAGCATTGTTTGCCATGAAGCTTGTTGTTCTTGCATGCTGTTCCGAGTGGTCCTCCCAGAAAGGATAGGCTAAACACACTGAAGTCATGGCATCTTTTAACTACACGCACGCAAGCCTTTCCCAGGCTGCAATCCCAAGAATACACCTAGATGCTGAGCCAAGCTGTTTCCCTCTCCCCTTCTCACCCTGTGCATCATTTGCTCTTTTATTTTGCATTAATAGTAGCTTAGTGATCATGGACTTCAGCTCTTGCCCGTAGTGATCCTGTTCGCGTTTTATTCTTTACACAGAATAGGAAGGAGGTTCGCTTGCTTTACGCAGAGGCTGAGCCACAGGAGAAAGCAAAGCCAATGTGATTTATTGAATGAAAGCACTGGACAATTACCAACAACTTGTTCCTCTGCTGCCTCGAACAACCTAAACTGGTAAGTGAAATTTATTGTTGTCTTTTTTCATGTGAACGTGAGGCTTTCTTAGTCACTGATTATTTTTTAAATGTGTTTGTATTGCTGTGGTTTAAATGCTTTAAAAAAAATCTGCATCTTCCAAAGTTAGCTGCAGGCAGTCCATGAAGGATGCAACCAAGCATAGACACAGTGGTCTGCAATAGCACATCCACTTCCATGTGAACCGTGAAGGGTGGGGGTAGGGAAGCCCCTTTTCTAATAATTGGTTATTTTCTTTGATTTTCTCTGCAGTAAGCTTAATCATATTAAATGCTTGCATAACTGATTAGCATAAGCTATGAAAATTAAATTACTGTTTTATTATATAAAGTCATTTTCTAATCAGGTTACAGAATACCTATACCTATTGTATCAGGTAAAGATGGGTAATTTCATGCTGATAATCCTAAATTTAAACCCAGGCATACTGGTATCTTATAGCCAGTTTGCAGGCTGGGCATATAGAGTTTAATGCCAGTATTGTGTCCATCCTGGGTGAGCATGCCCATAAATAACATCATGATCTTGATGCTGAGGATGCACACAATGGACATGCATCCAAACTCTTGCTTGACCCACTGCCACTTCCACATCTACATTCCTTAAGTTTTGTCTTTATTCCATTAATATGGTTGCTAGGGTGCACTAGGCTCAAAGCAGGATATTTTAAGCGTCTTTCTACTCTTAAGTGCTTGTTCTTGGCCTGGAAAAGCCATAGGGAATACCATTGATAATCAAGGGTGAGTCTGCTTCTGTGCTGGGTTCCAAAAATCCTCATACTCACTTGACTTCTTCATTTCCTAAATATGATGTAAGCCAACTTCTTAGAGGGGTAAAGTGAATGGAGAAAGAGAAAGCTTTTCTTACCCTCTCTCAACCAGTTTCCTCAGTCTTTGCCTTGCCTGGATACCACAAAACTTTATGGCAGCATCAATCCATCTCTGGTGAGCTGAGAGTCCATATAAACATCATTTAGAGTTCAATGTCTTTGTGCACTGTATCTGCCATACGTCACAGGCCATTCCAAAGAAGTTGTGGCCTTGGGTGCTGACAAAGATGGATGATGTTAGAACAGAGAGCAGCATGATTCTCTAAATAAAAACCAAAGCCAGGAAATCCCAGAGATGGGTGAAGTTTTGCCTAGTAGAAAGGATCCCTAGACACTCAATCAAAGAGCAAGATCATTCTCCCATGTGATTTGGCTATTTCACTATTGATGGTGTTTCAACAGGAAGGAGAAAATTACCTCCTGGTTAGGGGATGGGAGAGATGTCAAGATAGTGGGGCACTTTTTCCAAGTCCCAGACTTATTTTGTGTTTTTGAGAAATTCCCTTAGCCTTTCCTGGATCTCTATCCCTCTGTTCCTTCCATCCCTGATAATTTCAAAGAAGACATGCTATACTCAATTAACGTATCCAGAAGCTACCACTATAAGCTCTTTTGTTAGAGTGTGCATTGGGCAATGAAGGTCATTGTCAATGCACTTTAATCCAGAGACTATTCATCAGAATGCAAGTGGAGCATGAAGGGTGGGGGTGGGGAAGCCTCTTTTCCAGTAATTGGGCATTTTCTTTGATTTTCTTTGCAGCAAGCTTAGTCACATTAAATGCTTGCATAACTGATTAGTATAAGCTATGAAAAATAAATTATTGTCTTATTACATAAAATCATTTTGTGATCGCTTTCCTGAATACCTACCCTTGTTGGATCAGCTAAAGATGGGCCCCTTCATGCTGATAATCCTGAATACAGAGCCTCAGAGGAGAGTGTATGTAGGGATGAAGGGCTGTATGCCCCATCTAAAGGATATAGAGCACTCAGAAGGAAGTGTGATCAGGAGAGAACAAATCTAAAAATAAAATTCAAATAAATAGGTAAATAATTGAATAACTAATCAATAGATAATCAAATAAATAGGTGAATATGCAAATAATCAGGATTATTTTTCAAAGTAGTTCAGTAATAGCTTTTTTCCTATATTTAAGATTCCAGGATTCTAACGGTCTCCAATGTTTTGAAAAAAAAAATATGTAAGTATTTTTCAGGGAGTAGTTCATGTGTAGGTAGAATCCATGTATAGAACTGATGGCAACTTCTAGTTCTTCAAATTACCCCCACACTCTTGCACATGGAATTGGAAGCTATAAATGTACTATGAGTTGAGATGATCTAGAAGCCTCATTTGCCTCATTTGCCTAATCCTAAAGGTGAGACACTGTCTCACCTTTAGGATTAGGTTACCCGAAATACTTTAATTAGGGATCCTGTCAGGTATTTCTCTTTTACAAAATACAAACATTCTTACAAGGAATAACAAATTAAGCCACTGATATCATAAATGAATGTATTAATGTTTTTTACCTCAAGGGCACCCCAAGGATGTTGAATTATTATGAAATTAATTATTAGACTTTCTATTTACTTCATACTTGCCTCTAACAACTTCCTTTACAATTATTATTTCACTCTCAATCAGAAAAGTAGGAAATCCTTAGGACAAGCTATTTCCTTCTTTCTATGGAATACTTGAATTAAACAATGCCAGATAAATTGTTCTAATAGGTCTTTAAGAGTCATATGTGGAAAGCCAAACCCACTATCCTTTCCCCTTTGAAATTCACATTTCCTGCTATATTCCTTTTTTTCCCCATTATTGGTGGACCCATCATGCACCCAGCTAACCAACAAGGCTCACAGAATTTATCTTCAGGTTTCTTGATCACTTTAGCCCCTCCATCCAATCACTAACCAAATCTGGTCTATTTTGTTCATCTTTTAAATTTGTCTAGTCCTCTCTGTCCCTGTTCATGGGACATTTTCAAGAGATCTGAACTTGGTTATTCTCTGCTACCATTATCACACTTCTTTCCTTTTGATAATCTTCTGGCTGCTACCAGAGTAATTCTCTAAAAATGCAAATTTCAACTTTTAAAATATGTGTGTATATTTAATCAACACATACTAATTGTACCTATTTATAGGGTACAGTATGACGTTTCAATAGATGTATACAATGTGCAATGATCAGATCAGGATAATTTGGCATATCCATCACATAAGGGTCTCTGGTGCTCTCCTGTTGTGCCCAAGTTAAAATATATGTTCCTTATTGTATGTGAGAGGCCCTGGATCTCTCCAGGTTTCTTCCCCAAAGTTCTCACATTGTCTATGAAGTGTTCTACGGTGTGTCAAAGGTCAGAGGACTTTCATCCAGAGGACTTCCATTCCCCCATGCTCTGGCCCTGACTACCAGCCACACCATGACCTTTCTCATCATTGTAGCCTTATGCCTGGAATGCCCTTATCTATCCTTGCTCATCAATTTCTCTTTTCTCGTTTCAAATCCTTTTCAGGCATCACCTTCTCTGACCCATTTCCCCACAACATCTTCTCCCATGATCTTCTCCTCTCACCCAAAAAGTCAACCACTCACCCCTCTGTTTTATTTCTAGGTCTTGGATTTCTTTCTTTGGAGGTTAAGAACTCAGATACAGACCCAGAGTGCCTGCATTTGAATCCCGTATCTACCTTTTACTAATGCCTCAATTTCTTACATATGTAAAATGGAGATAATAACAATCCTTCCTCCAAAATGACTATTATAGAATTCAAGAAGTTAATAGATGTTAATGCAATGCAATGTACTGAATTCTTGTGCCCCCCACCCAAATCCATGTGTTGAAATCCTAACATTCAAGTTGATGGTATTAGGAGGTGAGGCCTCTGGGTGGTGGTAAAGTCATAAAAGCACAGCCCTCGTGGCTTGGATTTGTGCCTCCCCAAAGCACCCAGGAGTTAGCTAGCCCCTCTCATCATGTGAGGACACAGCAAGAAGGCTCTGCCTGTGAATCAGAAAGCATCCCTTGGCCTGACACTGAATCTGCAGACACCGTTGTCTTGAACTTCCCAGCCTCCAGGACAGTGAGAAATTAATTCCTGTTGTTTATAAATTATCCAGTTTATGTTGGTTTGTTAAAGCCACCTGAATGGACTAAGATGGGCATTATTCTGAACATTACCTGGCTCACAGAGGGAGCTATAGAAGTGTAAACTCTCATTATTATCCTATTTCACACACCACACTATTTGATAACCACATATTTGTTTCACTGTCTTCCTTTCTAACATATGAGCTCCTTGGGGACAGATAGGGTAAACAACTCATCTTAATTTGCCCAGGACATTCCTGGTTTAACGCTGGGAGTGCTGCATCCTGGGAACTTTCTCAATTCTAGGCAAACCAATATAGTGGGTTACTCTACATGAAACTCTATTCACTTATAAATTTCCAGAGTCTATTCCAGGATACATAGATTGCAGAATAGATCTTCCATAAGTGTTTGTTGAACTATAGAATCAATGTTAATTATCTTTTCACCTCTTCCCTATAAACATATGCTATAAAGATTCAAAAATCAATTTTCTTCTTGTCATGAAGTCACAACTAACCTTTCAAAACTTAGTACAGAAATATATATGTGTATGTGCAATGTCATATATATTATGTGTATAATATATTGTATATAATTATATATGTGTAATATTTTACATATGTGATATTTTATAATATTTTATTTATATGTGTATAATGTATATTTCATATACATGCATATGATATTTTATATATATACATATACACATATATACATATATGTATTTATATGTGTGTATATATATATATATATGTATATAGACACACACACATACTCTAGTCAGGCTGCTTCCACTCTGTTATGTCATCATTGTAATAGAATTGGCCACCCTTTAGCAATCAAAGACACACCTGTCATGTTAACAGCAGGTGGAGAATGAAAGGGGTCAAACTTTTTTTCTGGATAGTGATAGGTAGGTTGAAGGCTGAAGGTTCCTTAATTCACATCACAGAGAGAAGAACAATATTGTCCCAGACAGTAATGTTCCCCTTCACTGAATAACTGCCACCCAGCTGTCAAGAATGGTTAGAACTCCTATTTCTAAT